CTAATACAATGTCCAATTTTGGGCCAAAATTTCGTTTTCTCGATTCATTTGGAAATTTCCAAGAATTTGACGTCATTTCCAGGAATTTTAGAAATTCTAGGAATTTGACGTCACTTCCAAGAACTGTCGAAATTCCGGGAAAAATTTCTCGAGCGACCTTCTATCAACTTATGTTCCCCTAATACAAAGTCCAATTTTCGACCAAAAATTTTTGCTGATCGAAATTTTCACTTTGTATCAGGAGAATATAAGTTGAAAAGAGGTCGTTCGAGAAATTTTTCCAGGAATTCCAGTTCCGAGAATTTTTGACTTATTCCAAGAATTTTTTTCGAAATTTTAAAATTTTAAAATTTTCGATGCAATTTTTATAACTTTTAGGAGAATATAATGTAAGAGGACGTTAAATTTTTCTTGATTTCAACATACTTACCTTATTTTACTTACCTTTATACTTACCTCTATACTTACCTTTTTAATCTGCCACTTTTTCCGGAAATAAACATTTTTTCAACATTTTACTTAATTCTAACTTAATGCTAATATACTTACCTATTTTATACTTACCTTTTACATTCTTGCTCCTTTATATTCTTATATTTCAAAGAATTGTAGGATGGACGAGCTAAAAAATACAAAAATATACGTAAGAATATACATAAAACGTACAAAAAAATCTATAAAAAATGTATAGAATAAAAATGTAACATTACTCTATTAATAATGAATAAAATATACAATAAGAATAATATACCAAAGGTAGAACTGTCTTCTTATTGCTGCAAATCCCCTTCGATTCTGTGTCCAACGAGAGGATACATGGAACATTCTAAAAGAAAAAAAAAAAACTAATTAACGCTTATTGTAGATTCTAAAAGAGCTCGAAAAGAGCTCCTTATTTCAATCCACTATAGTATACTTGACCACATTTAACCGATTAATCTTAATCCATTTCTGCAACCCCTTTTTCTGTAAACTTTTACCGAAATACCATAACCGTGCATGGAAAATGCGCGCTCTCATAATTAATGAACTCGCCTCCCTGGCGTTTACCTGTTGTTGGGACACGATAAGAAATTATTAATCGGATCGATTGTGCGAGGGAGCAGTAAAAATGTTGCGACAGCTGCGGCTGCGACCTGCTCCGATCCGAGGAATAGCGAAATAAAAACGGGAAATAAATTCGCCTACCTTTAACAATATATACATATATATTTATCGGTCAGTCGATAACCGATGGACAGGCCAAAAACGTGAACAGCGCCAGCGACGCCATAGCCATTGATACGTCGACCTCTTTCACTGCAGAGTCTCCCCTACCAGAGGTCAGCAAGTTGCATCTCGCCCACTCGAGCTGAAACGATCCATCCGTGCCGATATTAATACACTTCTTCGATACGATAGAAACGCCGGACGAACGAATTCTTTCCTTTCCTTCCCCCCTCCTCCCTCCCGACGTTCCCTTTAAAAATCGTATCGCGCGAATTCGTTGACTCGTACTACTGGAAATCGCCAAAGGGGACGGCCCGCCTTTTTATAATCGGATCGAATCAATCCCGGGGCGTGAATTCTCGGCCCGAAATGGCAAGATGGCATGTGACGCGGTATAACGTTGATCCCAGAGGGGGTAGTACGACGAAGAGGACCGCGAAAGGGGGAGGGAAGGAAGGAAGGAAGGAAGGAAGGAAGGATTCCGTACGCGACGATCCTGTTCCAAAGGAATAGGTAGTAGCTGGCACGGTAGAGTTTCGAGTAACACGACGACGACGACGACGACGACGACGACATTGATGGAAACGTATTAAATGCCCGGAGGCGTTCTCACCGCGACGCGGAACGTCGTGGATAATTCGAGCGTCGCGTTTCTGCTCCCGAGGTTGGGGAGGGAATGGTGTAATTACGCAGCAAGCACGCTAGTCAAAACACGAGGCGCCGCGGTGGGGCGGGAAACGACGAACCGTGAAAAATGACGAAACGGCGGCGAAAGAAAAGCGGGCGCGATCAGATCGTGCATTACAGACGGCAATTTCCAATCATCCACGACATACGTGGTATTAAACGATCGAACCTGTCGCGAATCTTGGCGAGTTCTCTGCTCCCAAGATTCGGACGTTCGAAGAAAAAACGATGGAAACGTTGTGAACGCTCTGTTCCGCGAATTATCGCTATAATATCGCGCGAGATAACAACGGGGGCAAAGTCTGGAAAACTGGCACGATGCGACGCGACGACAAAGGAATCGAACAAGAAAGGGAGGAGGCAAAGCGCGGGCCGCGCGATCTACTTCTACTCTTTATATAACACCGTACAATAGGATTCTAAAATTAGAATCATCCACGGACGACCCACTTCGCCCCACGACGACTTTGATTCGGACCTAATTTGAAAGCAGTGCGAATAACGGGGAAAAGCGATCCCCAAGCGAGACGGAAACCTTGGAATTCGGGCAACGAAGGCGTCCGTCCTCCTTCGAGGGAGGACACGCGCTCGGCCATTCCAATCCTCCAATCCTCGATAACGAGGGGCGGGCGCGCGCGGCTACAAGTCGCGGCGAAAGAAGGCAAAGAACCGACCGACACTCGCCCCCTTATTATTATTATTCTGCGCGTATTTCGACATTCTCCCCTTTGGAAATAATGCACAAAAGTCGCGGCTAAAGGAGCCTCATCTCGGTGAGAAGTCATTGGCATGGGAAGCTTCTTCTCCCGAACTCGGCCCATTCGCGTTATATTCTCTCGTTTGATCTCGATCCGAATGGAAGAATGGCGGGGGAGGGAAGAGGAGGGGTTCCGTAATGAGGATACATTGTGCGTGGCGAGATTCATCGGATTAAACGGATTGGACGAATCGAATAGCCGCCGTTCAATGGACACCGGATTCGAAAGTGTCCCCCGTTCACGAGCTCGTTTACCTCTCCCCTCCCCCCCCCTCCCCCCTGTTCGGTAAATGAACGAATTGCTCGTAAACGATGGCGGTCGCGTGCTCTCTCTCGCTCCAACAAAAAGAATATTCCACTTGCTCTTGCCGTATTTTTACCGAGTACGAGAACAATCGAACTTTGACGCGTTTCCCCGATTGAACCGTGCTTTATATATATATATATATATAAGTTGTTTTTCGGTATTTGCTCGATAATCATGGACGTCGATTCTCGAATAGCTTTCCGATTGTGGAAATACAACAGCGCTTTGACTCGGAATCAATAGTTGCGGGCTATTCTCCGTCTCTTAAAAAGGAGCTCCTCCACTACCCCCTTACATACAATTCCTTAAAGCGACTACTACTATCCCCGAGGAGAAAGAAGGAGCCTTTTCTACCTTCTCTCCCCTGCCTGCCCCTCTAACGATTCCGCTTTTTCCTCGGACGCGGCCGGAATATTACTCGACGATGCGATTTTTTCGAAAAAAGACGCTCGTTGAAAAAAGACGCGATGAAATAAATATATATATATATATATTTTTGAAGGGAGAAATTATTAGCCGAGAATATCGTTGCGTCGAAGATCGCGCAATTTAAAACACGTATATTGCCCCCTTCTCTCCCCCCGTTCAGAGTGGCGAGAAGTACGGCTCTCTCTCGAAAAGTTTATTAAAACTACGGGTAGGATTTTCGACGGGAAGTTTCGACGGAAGTTCGAGACACGTAGTTGGATGGAAAGTTGGAAAGTGGCCGCTTTAAGAATTCTCTTTCAACGTGCGCCGCGCAGATTTACCCGTCGCGAAATTCATTACGCGTCAAAATTTCCCACGGACCCCTTGCCGCCGCACGTCGCTCGCAACTTTTTCGCCTTAATCGCCTTTCAAATATTCCGTCCACCTTCTTTTCTCACCGCGATTCTCGCTGCTCGGGCGAATGTTAAACAATGGAAGATCCTCTCCTCCCTATTTTCCGTAACCCTGTTTTATTCGCCTCGCCGATATTCCCTTCGAAACGACGTATTTTCCCCCCTCCCCCCCTCCTCTTTTTCCTTTTTTTCTTTTCCGTATGCTAACGAGTTTCGATCGATCGAGTGGAAATTTCAACGAGTGCAAACGTCTGATTTCAGTGAGGGAGGTTACGTTGTCCGAGCTCAGGGACTCGATAGCGAGGTTACGGGAAAGAGTGAAGCTAGTATGCCGAACGAGGGGCTCTCCGCCCCCCAGGGTGCACTGGCTCAAAGACGGTATACCGCTGCACCCTCGCAGAGGCCTCAGGATTCAACACAAACGGTGAGTCTACTCTTACTTTGATTTTCCAATCCAGCCTGCGAAACCAGCCATCGTGTACGCCACGCGCCGTTCTTCTTCTTCTTTTTCTATCAGAGTTAAAAAGAAAGGAAAAAAGTAAAACAAAAATTCGAAAGAGCGAAAGAGACGGGTGATTTCGCGCGCATCCGAGAACAACGCCCGAACCCGGGAGGATAACCGTGGCGAAAACGAAACCCGCAAAGTTTCGCGAATTTTCGCGAATCGTTTATAAACCGTGTGCACGACAAACTTCCCCCTCGTTCTCGGGGCTTATAATTCGCGATTAACGAAATTGTGTTTCGTGTTTGGCACCGATTTAGACCTATGCACCTCCCCTCCCCCGATCCGAGCTCAACTTTCGCCGCTCGTTTTCTCGTCGTTCTTCATTCCAGGGGGCTGCCACACCTCCCCTCCTACTAAATATCCCTGCCAAGAATATTACCCGCCGTGTGACATCGATTTCTCCCGCGCCGCTCGCGTGCCTCTCCGCCCGCCGATCGATCGTAACGACATAATAATCGCCATTATTACGCTCGATTTCTTTTATTACCACTGTCGTGGCCCGGAATCCCGGCGAGGAAATAAAAGAAGAAGCCTTGCCCTTTTAATCGTTTCGCTTGAACCGGGTCCAAAATTTTTATTCGCCTCCACTCTCTTTCTTTCTTCGTTTCTTTTTTCAACGAACAGAAGGAAGGAAAGAACGGAAGAGAGGAATTCGTCGAATCGAAGGGAGGAATCTTTCTTCGAGAGATCGGTCAGTTTGTAAATATTATCGGTGGCACCGCGAGCCGTTACCACGTCCCTGGGGGCCGTAATAATTTCAGACGGCCTTTCGGCCGGATTTACTATCCACGGAGGAACGATTATAGCGAGAGAGCAGGCCGGCGGCCCTCTTCTCCTCTGATGACTCAACTGTTGGCAACACTCTCTCGTTTCGCCGTTCCTACTCTTTAAAGATGATGTATTCATGCGGGATGCGCACGCGTGCGCCTAAGACGTGGCCATATTGTAATCCAGACTTTCCTCCCTTTCTCCTTCTCGAAAGCCAAACGTCCACGGTTTCAAACTTTCCTCCATCCTCTCTCTCTCTATATATATATACATACATACACACATTTCTCTGCTTGTTTTTCAAAAGCTTTCTCTCGATAAATAACAATCGTAAACAACCATCCTCTTTCCACGACGATTACGCTTCTCGCCTCCCGGGGAGATTGTTAAACCCCGTTTGCCTTTGAGCTTTCGAAAAACGGCGGAGGCCCGCTTTTGAACGGCGTTCCTCGAAACGGGAAGAAAGCGAATCGCGACACACTTTTGCTTTCGCTCTCGAAAAACTGCTCTCGCCGCGAGTGGCGTTTAATGGCCGTTTGCAATTAGTCGCTTTCCCCGACGGATGGATGGATGGATGGTGTGCAAGTGGCACTTGAACGTACGCCAGGATCGTCGTCCTTTCCGCGATTTTTAATGGATATCCCTGGGTGATTAGGCGCCGAAGGGTTGGATTTTTCACACGTCGACAGGAAGGAAGGAAGGAGGAGGCGTTCGACGAGTGAAACAGATAAAAAGAGGAGGAGGAAACTCTTGTTGCAGAATTTTTCATGTCCATTGTTTTCGTTCGTAATTAATTAATCGACGGCAACACGCGTGGAAGGGAGTAATCGGATTTCCGGCCCGAAAATTTGCGATGCGTCGGTTAACTCTTTCGCGAGTAATAGGATAATAGGTCCGAGGTAACTTTTGCGAGGATCGTAAATTAATTATCAGGATGGGATATCCAAACCGTTCGAAAGTCGAAAAAAAAAAATTTGGCTTCTTTTTTTCTCTCTTCTTCTTTTTGCCGTTCGACCGAAAAAAAAAAACCGGGCCAAGAATAATTGATCGCGTTGGCTCGAAAGAAGAATCTCGATCGTACGAAATTTACGAAGGAAACTCGTTTCCCCGGATGGAATTATTAGCAGCCGATCCATCCAATTTTATATCCCCGTCCATCGATATTTCGAGAGTTTTATTACCTGCCGCGAATTAATCAACAACAAACTCGTCGTCGTCGTCAAAGTTCTCTCGCTCCGATAGGGGAAGGAAGGGAGGGAGGGAAAATGAGATTTCTATTCCACGATCATATAGAATTTCATTATCCGCGTATCGATAAATATCAAATGGACGGGTATAAACAAAATCATCCCGGTTGTATAAATAAACGATATGGTAAACAAATGAAGAGATGAAGATAAACATAAAAAAAAATAAAAAAAAAAAAAAAAAGATAAAAGCAAACACGCCGGCTGAGTAGACAACAAACGTGATGGGGGAGAAGGGAAGGGAGAGAAAGGAAACAAAAAGAAAAGCGCGATATAAAAACGCTTTTTAATCGCTTCGAAACTTTTCGTTCCTTCCTACACGCGCGATCGGTTATCGTTGTAAAATCACGAAAGAAAAATCTCACGACGACCCCTCCTCCTCCTCTCGCGTCGAAACCAAGACACGTGTCCCATCGTAATTTTCAATTACTGTGATCCACGTGATATCGTGGTCGGAAGCCGCAGATACATTCCGTAGTCGTAAAATCGAACGTGTCCCCGCGCGTACGTGGGGCGAAATCGCCTCTAAAACCCACGTGAGATTTTTCGATCTCTGAGACTAGCTCCAAGATGCGAGCAATGTATACTCTAATACTCGATATTCCATAGAATCGAACGTAAGAGAGACGCGTACAGGTTGAGCTAAGAAGAATATCTCTATCGCCGATAATAGAATCTCTCTCATGCTGGAAGAGAAGAAATTTCGTACGAGATAGATAAAGGAAGACATCTGGCTCGAAGGACCACAATCGTTTCGCCGAATTTAGTCGCGTGTCGGTGGGCGATGCCTCATTTGAGAGCTGTGTCCCAACTAGTTTTGTGCCAGGTCTCGTGTCCGAGTTTGTTCGATTACAAAATGACAAGAGGTTATCGGTACTAAAGGAGACATTAATTTTTCCAGGCGTTCAATTAACTCGAAAGCGGTTCAAAATTCGATCGAATTCGCGTGAATCGATAAACAAGATTCCACGGTGTGCGTTCACCATCGAAAGACAGACGACCACCTATTTTCTTCTAATCTTCCCTCTCGACGAGGAAAAAGACGAAAAGGTTCGATTTCTCTTTCGAGGGAGGAAAGAGGCGCGACGACGGATCAATTCGGGATCGAGCCGCGGGATCGGCATCCGAGGAAACGGGATGCTGGCAGTTGTTCCTCCTGTTCAAGTTTGATCAATGGCGACGTTCGCTGCAATTATTCCGAAATTATCACGTTCGTGCGTTACCGTGTTCCCAGGCCGTTTATTATCCGGCCGCCACTAGTTATCTCGCTAATTTGTCATCATAAGTAGCGGAGGGTGAGCTGACAAAAGTGCACCGTCGCGCAAGGGCCCTTATCGAGAATGCTTCCGCGCGACGTTCTTTGCGCTCCCTCGGCCCGTAAATTAAACGGGTAAATGTTATAATTACGGCGCGGCTTGCGTCCAACGCTCGAACAACTAAAATCGCGGAATCCCGGCAAACACCGCTCAACCCCGTGAATCTTCATTTATCTTCTTACCACCACCACCACCATCATCACCAGTACCACTGTCTGTCTTCGTGGGAGAGATTTTTCGTCGAAAGGTTTTTTCACGCGGTTAAAGAAAATTTTTACCGATTTAATTCATGTTTGACGGGGGGAGGAGAACACGGGTGGAAGAGTTTCGAGACTGTGCACCGGCCTCGGTGAAACTCGGAGGTCTTTCATTTGCCTCATCGTCGACAGGTGCATTGCTATCGAATTTCTATCGATCCGCTGGACTAGCGAGCGTTATCCGAACCCGGAGTGCGAGCTATTAGGTGATTGCAGGTTTGCAAAACGTGTCTCGAGACCCTTCGTGTATCGATCTAGGGCATCTATCCTTCGAGTGACGGCTTGCTTTGAAACGCACCCTATCCAAGCGTCCATGTCAAATTAATGGAATGGAAAAATTGATAAAAAGATCTCTCTCTTTCTCTTTCCCTGTGTATATATATATATATATATTTCTTTTTCCTTTTGTCACGTACATTTTATATCCCTAGAAAGGAATCGAATATGGGGAACGAATCGTTACGAGAATCGCTGAGAATCATGGAAAGTTTGACGATGGCGGCGTTAAAGGTACGTCGAGTCACGGTAATTGGGCGACGAGCGAGCCAACCATAAAGGCCACCAGCCTTAAACGAGATTAGACCACGGAACGAGTCGTTCGCTTTACGATTCGTCCCGACTTATTATCGGCCCACGTCCTCGTCCCCGGTTTTCATTCACCGAACTTATCCACCCGGATACAAATCGCATTTATCGCCATCCTATTTATTTATCATTATTCCAGTTGATTTACCGTAACCGGTGCTTATCGAATATAAAAACGAATCGATTCTTCTCTGAACAAACGAAATTTATTTATATACTTATATAATTCCAGAAACAGGTGGAGAAAGGAAAGAAACGAATCCGGCCAAATATTGTAGTCGCGGTTAAATGATGGTGTAACGGCCGCGCGTTTTCCTTTCGAGAGGGCGTGCACGCTTTTTCCACTCACAAATCTCCCGTTGAACGTGCCTCCACCAAACCACCACCACCACCACCACCCTCCCCCCCAAAAGATCTTAACCGGGGCGCTTGGTTTACCGCTCGAAACCTTCCTTTCTTCCTTTCTTCCTACCTATACCGATATCTTCTACGCCTTTCCTACGTGCTATCCGACCAGGAAAGATTGCCAGCAATAAAATGTTAATAGGTTAAACGAGCGGATTCTCTCAGGGACTCTGCAAACGGACCGCGTTATTGTACTCTGCCCGGAACACACACACACACACGCACACACACGTTCTCTCTCTCCGTCTTCCCCCCCCCCCAGTTAGCGCTGATTCATCTTCCTCCCTCGTAAATCGGTTGTTAATGAAGATTAATAAATCAGGGGAAACCGCGCACAATGA